CATGGATAACTTATCCCTACTGAACCTGTGCTGTGACTACTGCCAGAAACCAGGCAATAGAGCCAGGTACAGAATGCCTGGTGTTGCCATTTTTGCTACATGCACAAATGTTGGTTTCATTTGTTTGGTAGGTTTAAACAGAATAAAACAACTTGTTCCTCTGTCTGCAGTTCAGATAATGGAGGAGTATTTCTGAGATGGAGTCTTTCTGTGAGCAGCTGAAATGGTGAGATAAGGATTGGCTGGGACAAGTTACACAATGAATATGAGCAAAGGCTTGTTTGATGAAGCGTGGCTTTGATGAGATCAGCGTGCTTAGTAAGCTTCATAAAGCTGGCTTGTTCTTTTATGGGATTGTTTGTTTCTGTGGCAGTCCTTCGGTTTTCTGCTAATGTGCAGGAGCCAGTTGTTACCTGGCAGCATCCACCTTTAGCTCCCAATCACTTCCAGGAGCATCCTGGTATGCATGTGATTGGCCAGAAGTGGTGGTACCTCAGAGCTAGGACACACCTTTCTCTCTCCTCAGATCTTCTTGTCAGCAAAGTGTTCTTTTCCAGTTGAGTTTCTTAACTTTCTTGGTCAAAAGGTTGTTACTCATATATAAAATGAGTGCGTTCTATGGGATCTCAGACTTGAAAACTTTCTGCAATTCTCAGGCGAGGAAGAAGGCTCTGATTTTGCTGGGCTGAAATAGAAGACGCCTGACTCAATTTACAGCTTGCTACCTCAGGACCTTTCTTAGGGTTAGGGTTGAAGCTGGCCTGCTAATCTCTATACAGGTTCATTGCCCTGAGGATAAAGCTACAGGTGGCTGTTTCTCTGTGCAAAAGACGTGGTGGCACCATTCCAGTGTCCCATTCCTTGAATAGCCAGAGGTAGCCCACATAACAGACACAGGCTCCTGATCTTGGTGCTTGCTTACCTGCTGCTGGTGTTTATTCCAGATGGCATGTATGAAGAAATTCTGTTCTTTGTATTTAGAGGCACTTATGCTTGGATATCCTAAGGATGCTGCAGCCTCAGACTTACGGATAATGACAAAAGGAGGGGGGGGAGTTTCGACTTGATATAACATTTTACCCTATTGCCATAAATTTATGCAGGCTCAGCCCTTCAGCACATCTCTCATCTGTGTAGAGTACCAAATGTCAGGAACGTGATCCAACAAAACATACGTATGACTATTTGTTGAGTTTAGGTGAAAGACTTTAGCTCTGTGATGGCTTGTGCTCATTGCCATAGGTTTAAGCCCAAAAACTAGTTAGGGTTTCTGAAATTGGAGGTGTAAAGTTGAGAGTTTGACAAGGCCTGCAAAAGGCATGTTTGAAGGTGTGTGTGTGTGTACATATAGATAGTTCAAAAATGTGTCTTGTGGCAGTGTTTGGCTATTTCTGTGGGATATCTTATTTAGCAACCCTTAAACAATGGTATGGTATGTTATGATCTTTAGGGGGGGTATCTTGAATGTAGGATAATAAAGGTGTCTCTGTTGTTCTGACAACACTTTGAACAATTTACAAAACACATTTAAAGCAGCAATATGATGATTTCCTCAGTGTTAGAAGATCTAAGCCTGTGTTTTAGACACAGGGGAATTCAAGCTCAGTGCTTACACGGTATGTCGTCAGTGACACGTTGCAAGCACAGGAAGCCACTGACAAGCTTTGAAGGTTCAGTGGCACTTCTGTATCTAATGTTAGTACAGTGAAATTCAGTAACCTCTGGAATATGCTCAACGCCTTGAGGCTGAGCTTTACAGTAACACTTACTCCTGACAAGAAGAACACTGGTGTTGGCACTGTTTCAGTGTTTTCCTTATTCCTCCTGTTAAACCCAACAAGATAGGCTACACTAAAATAGGATTCATTATTTGTGTTCTTGTTAACTGCTTGTAAAATATAAAGCGATTACCCTGCTAGATGTGCTTTCAGGAATATCAAATGCCTGCAGAGTAAACTCGGGACACCTGCCACGAGCAACAGCGGGCTCCTCTAGAGGAAACGTGGTCCTTCACTGTTCTCTGGTAGATGAATGTCTGGTTTGCTGCTTTGTGCCAACACGTGCGTTCCCAGACTTCCTATGAGGTTCTGCCAGTTCTCCTATGGGAAGCTAAGGTATAGTCACACTTGCTTTTGATCACCGTGTTGTGACTGGAAATTAAGAGTTGTAGCGAGGTCAGTCTTTCCAGGGTTGAACTGCTACTTGTTCAAATCAAGCCTTTCTCAAATGTGTATCACTTCTAAATGGTCTTTCAGAGAAAGATGACTGCAAATGCATTTTTACAGGTAGATCATAAATTACCAGATATTACTTGGGTTTGGGTTGTTCCTGCTATTGGTTTCTTACCTTGAACTCTACTGTGTGCTCTCAGGACAAGTAGCAGAGGGGCCTTACAAATGGCACTGCTCTGACTGCTGCTGCTGACCTCTGGTTTTCCCTTCAGACTCTAGCGTAGGGAATTTTAATGGAAAGGTTCACATCAGCATGAATGGAGACTGAATGGGAATATTTGTCTGGATATGGAGGCTGTAGTGGAGAACAGGGTGGGGAAGGAGTGCTCTTAAGCAGCCTGTGTTAACAGCACCCAGCCGAGCAGGTCACTGGGATTTTGGCACATTTTGAAGGTACTCACAGTCCAGAGACAAAGAACACAGGACAAACCTGGGATCACAAAGTTTAAAGTAGTTTTCACTCCCTCTCTTTCCTCCTCCATTTCCTTCTCCTTTGCCTTTTTGCTCACTTTTTTAACTTATTGCTCTTTTTCTCACTTGCACATTTGTTATGTGTTGTTGCTCTTGCACATTTCACAAACTCTTTTCTTGCTTATGCTTTTTATTTTTATTTCTCCTTTCCTGTTCTTTCCTTTTTTTTTTTTTTTAATTCTTTTTTTAATTCACCTCTTGGTTGTGCTTTTCTTTCACTTTTTTCTTTGTACTTGTTCTCCTTTCCTTCTCTCTACTGACTTTTATTACAGTTACAGACCTCACTCAGGAAAACCTTCTAGGATTCATGCCAGGTCAGTTATAATAATCCTGGACATACCCCAGGATAATGACCAAAACCAGTAACAAACAATTCTCAGAGGCTGTCACAGATTTGATAGAGAAACAGTTCAAACAAAATTTGGCTTTTTCCCCAATGCTGACTGCAAGAATTCAGTGGAAATGTGAAGGAAAGACAGTGGTATCACTGTCCAGATACAATACTGATACAATACTGTATCCAGAGATGCTGTGATACAGTATTTGCTCCAAGATATGCAAGGAACCCACAGCATTTGCAGAATGGATATATGTACAAACAGGAAACTTGCTTCTCTCCAAGTGTTGCTTATCTTAATATTATCTGGGGAGGTGGTTCCCACGGCTACCAGAAAGAGCAAGGAATTGATTATAAATGTAAGATTACAGGGTGGAAGACAACCCCTTATTTATTAAGCTGGCTGAGAGCAGAGCCAAGAGCATTCAGTGGTGAGAGGGAGGCTGCAGGGGTGGAGTCTGCTGAGTTTTGACGCTGCAAACACAAAAACAAGGCTTGTGGCTGATAGATTCGTTTTTATTATTATAGAACAGATGAACTAAAATAAGCCAACAATATAATTTTATGCCAACAGCCATCTTTCTAGCACAGGCGGTGACTGACTCAATGCACTCTTCTCCCCCCGCTCCCTGGGCCTCTGTTCAATGGAAAGCAAATGGTGGTGGCTCTGGCACATGGGTTTTGGACTGCAGTGATCTTACTCCTGTTACCTGTAGAGGTGTGCCTGGGAAAAGAAGAGGCAGGGGAGCAGAGGAAAGAGTATATATACTGTAGGAGCAATAAGCAGAAAGGCTTGTGGATCCTCTTGCACGCTGACATGTTGTGACCACATAGATGGGACAACTGGAGAATCATGCCCACTGTCAACACGTAGCAAGCCCCTAGTTGCTACTCTAGTCAAGCCAGGAGTTTCTTCCCATTCCAAGCTAACGAAGGGCAAGATGCACTCAGTGGGGGAGCTTTTGGCAGGGTTAAGAGGCAGTCTATGTAAAACCAAACCAAAAAACCACCCCCACCCCCCCAAAAAAAAAACCCAAACAAACTTGCATTTTAAGCCACTTCCAAGTAAAAGTTATTTCTTATAGTATAATAGATATTTTTAAATGGCAGGACCACCAGCCTAGAAAGACCAAGGGGCTTGCACTCAAGACCAAAGAAAGAAAAACAAAAAACCAACCAAACAAACAAAAAAAAAACCCAACCAAAAAATCCAAGAGTGGCCCCACTCTCAAGCTTGGCTCTTCTCTAAAAACAGCACTCATCTTCCATCTGAATAGGTAAAAGGAGGAGTGGACAGAAAATAAAATAAAATTGGTGCAACTTCTCGCCAGTTGGCGCATTAACCCAAAGCTCCGTACAGTCCTGTACGACTGCGCATCCCGTGGTGGCAGCATCATTGCTTTCAGCTTTCATCGCTGTATATGTCTGTATGTATATCTGAACATATACATACACATACACACAGAATAGATAATATTGTTTTTAATGTTAGTTTTGATCCTGTAGGAGGGCTCATCTCTCTTTCACGTGGTTCTGTGCTCCTGCGCTGTTGCTGCTCCCATTGCCGCTCCCGTTACTGCTGCTCCCGCTGCTGCTGCAGAGGACCTCTGTGAGGTCATCCATGATGGTGGTCTCTTTAGGGTCCACGAGGTTGAACTCCCTGATGAATAGGATAAAGTGTGTGTAGAGTGTGTTTAAATGTCCGTGCAGCTCCAGTGCCAAAGTCTCCTTAAAGTGTGAGGAGTAGATATGGGCCAACACATGGAACAGGTACTTGCAGATCTTCTTCACTAGGGACTCGAATGAGTTTGGGAATTCCTTGCCTGAAAGGAAGATGGAGAAACACCATGATAGCACCAGCTGCTTACCATCAGCCCCTCAGCAGCATTTGGGTGGGCTGACCTGTGGGCAACAGCAACTAGCCCATCATATACAGCAGACAACTAGAGGGTCCTCTATCATCCTACTGTCTTTCTTTATACAGGAATTCAGGGGAAGAATCTAAGGAGATAGATATTAAGCATTTTCATTTGAAGTTAAATTTTAAACCCTAAGGGTTCAAAGATCACGAAGGAAGTATAATTGTTTTTTAAAACCACTACATTTTTTGTTACTGGCTGAAAAAATAACGAGAAATTCTTCTAGGTTCTTATCTAGTTTGTCCAGGAGTAGCAAATTTTTCCCCATGAAACCAATTCACAGATCCTGAAATGGAAGACAAGGTACACAGCCCTTGGTAGTGTGTGGCCGTTTGGCTCATTTTACATAATGACTTCCCTCATTTCGTTGCTGAAATTCTATTGAAGGGGAAAGAAATGGAAGGAAATTACTGGGTGCCTTCTATCAGGCACCTCTATCTGGGCAGCTGAAATCGTGCTTGCCTAGGGCAAGTGTTGGAGTGCTGTGCCTGCACGGTAACTGCTTTAGTAACACTGAAAGTGAAACTGAGGCAAACAAAAAAGCAACACCTGGCATCCTGTGATGCACGATACAAAGTCTGTTACTGGTCTAAAGTGCCCCTTGACCTGATAGACAATCACGTGCGTGAAATGCCCTTGCTGCCCTTGAATGGGTATATTAAAAAACGGAAAGTCAAGTGCAGCTGGCTTACTAGGCACAGTCTCACTAGACACTGCCCTTTTCCAGACCAGGCTGCTTGTAAGCAAAGGCTGCTAGCTTAGTATTTTCTATATTGTAATGTCTTAGTTTCCCAATTACCTGTTGAAGTGGCTCAAGAAGCCAGCTGCTTTTAGTCCTGATTAGGCCAACCAAAAATAACTTCAGGTTTCTATTTTCTTCCCCATAAACAAAGGCATTGCACATAGCAATCTTGTTAAGTTACAAATTTGAGTTAAAATTACTTTCCTATTGCTTTTCAGCTCTTAAAAATCACATTGTTATTTAATCTTCATAAGGGAAAGGAGACTGCAAGCTCTCTGAGAGACAAGGCCTTAGAGCCTTGGGCAAAGAAGGCAAGCTGCATTCCTGGCAATCCAATTTATTTCCCCCTTAATGTATTGAGGGTCTAATGGAAACAGAGCTCAAGTTTGCTGTCAGCAGGCTGTATTGAACACACACATGCTGACTGTTTTCAGAATTTTATCCTCTATGAACACAGGCTAGAAGATCTCAAAATGCTTGAAGGGAAAGATGTACTGATGGATAATGAAACAGAAACCAAGGGGACAGGTTTGTGAGACTTTCACCTCAGTTCATGAACCAACAGCACAAGTCTTTTTTACTGCAAGAATGAACCAAACTTAAAATCTTCCTTTAAAGAAGAACAACAAAAGAAACCCACAAAGAAAAAAAAAAACCAACAAAATCATCAAACAAACGAGTGAGAAAGCTGTCTGGTATGACTACATATGCTGAATGCCAACTTTAACTTTACTTGTGGCCTCCACAGAGAGCCCCAGGAAGCCAACCTACCATATTTTGTTGGAAAGACGTCCTCATCTGTCACTAGTTTCTGCACCGAACTCATGACGAAGTCAACGTACTGAGGAGCAGTGCACTTGATCTTCTTTCCCCGCTCATCATACCAGTAGTACTGTCTGCGGAGAGAAGGGACGGTTTTACCACATCACACTCTGGCTCCTCAGCTCCACGCTTCTAGGAGGTCAGTGTGTAAATAATGTAAAACAACAGCTGCAGCGTTACCAAAACACATCACAGCTGCTACAGAACAGATTCACTTCTTTTCTAAATCAAAGACCTTGAATTTCTGTTGGCCAATTTTGTTTCTCCCTGTGGGTTTAGGCCAGAGTGCAGGTGGCAGTACCAAGCACAGAAAGCCTGCTGACAAGTCTCCAAGGAGACGAGCTTTGCTGATGCAGCAATAATTCACTATCCATGACATGCTAAGGGTTGACACACAGCCTATATAATTGTACAGAAAAGCATTATATAACTATTTTTAAAAGGGCAAGAACACTGCACAGAGATAAACTGGTGAACTTCTGATGCTTAACATCACAGAACATAAATTAGTCTTGCAGTGCAATATTACTAAACGGTCAGATGGTGGCTCCAAAACACCGGCTTTTCCAACCTGGAGCTCCCAAGTACCAGCAGCGATTTTAAGTGCTCCAATTCCTGTTCCAAAATCCATTTTGGGGAAAGTTTTCAGGACCCTTCTGCACATCCCTACCAGCATGCGTTTGAACTCTGCTCCTTTGGTTGCAGTTACACACACCCAAAACACCTGAATATACATTTGCTTCTGTCACCAGTGAATATTCCTGTTGGATATTATGGAAGAGGAGACATTGGCATATTGCCTGGCCCTTCAAAAGCAACCTTAGTTCAATCAGTTAGCCATAATCATCTTGATTAACTAACTCCAGCCATCCCTCACCTGATGGAGAATCTGAAGGCTACAGAATAACTGAAGGTTTGTTCCCTTTTTTGTAAAGTCATAGTTAATTGAAGTACCTGCAACTGTTACCAGGAGCAGATATCCACTGGATTAGACAGACAGTGAGAAATGTTTTACAGATAAGGAATTTAGCAAAATACTTTTTAATTGGTATTTTTTTGCCTATGTCACACTAGACGTGTGTTGAGTCCCAGTTTATGAACTCTTTCTTCAAACAGTCTAAGCTGCAGGCACAGTCCTATATCAATATAGGAAATCCACTGTACTGGTCTTCCCAGAACACAACATGAGTGGAGTTTGCTGACTGCAGGCAAGGATAGAAGTGGTTTGAGCATGAACATCGCACCCAACACGAGCCTATAAAGCCAGGGTACTACTTTTTGCCTGTCTGTTCAGCTCCAGCTCTGCTGCTGCTGGCTAATGATCCGTGATCTAACATTTCTCACACAAATCACTGAACAAACCTCTTTGTAGCCCTCAACAAAGTATTACTTCAGTGTGACGTTTAGCCACCTTAGGCCTAACAGGACTAGGCTGCAATGAACTTGAAGGATCTATGTGCCACCTGGGAAGTGAAGTTTTATGTGCAGTGACCAGCAGAACTGTCCTGAGGCAACCAAAGAAAAATGTTAATAGCAAATAAAAAGTTTTCATTTACAGTGAGTTTTCACTGCCCTAAAAGATTCTTTAGGGACCTGAGGATGGTGAGGTGAAGACACTGATAACACTGTTCATGCCCAAAGCCATATTAAAATAAGAGGAATAAGTAGAAAATAAGCAGAAATAAGTAGGTAGTTCAAGTTAAGAGAGGAAAAAGCAACTGAACACTGGTTCTGCAGACACTTAAGTTTTAGAATTTTTCTTTCAACTCATTTTCAGTATGTGGTGCTTGGTCACTGTACTAGAAAGAGCAAGGATTGACTGCATAATTGCATAAAAAGGTGAGAAAGTGGATGAAAACAGCAGGAGTCAAAAGCTCTTTTTAGAGCTATGTCAGGCATCAAAACTGGCATTTGAGCCCTAAGGCATAGACTGTGTTTGTTTTTCATCACTGCTTACTTCCTCTGTACAATCCACATATAAGGAATTACACAATGTAGTGCACCAACACACAAGCCACCTCGTTTGTCTAGTCTTGCAGTAAGCTGGAGTGAGACAGTCCTAGGCAACTCAGCCTTATTTCAGGTCTTAAGGCAATGCTTGTTGCCAAGAGCAGAAGCAGGCTGGCCTGTCTGTACCTCAGCAGTTCTCTCATGCTGCAGAAACCCTCAACTGCATGGCAGAAAGCATAGTTTGGAGTTGCCCTTAGGTGCAAAAATGAGTCTTGATAATTGGATCTTAGTCAAAAGAAACAGTTTGGCAACTGTACAAGTTCACTTACGTGAAAATATAAGTGAATAAATCTACTCTAACATCCCACTAAATATCCTTTTTGACTTTCCTTGAAGATTAGGCTAATTATGCAGAATAGGAATTTAAAAGAGAAATCATTAAGAGTAAGGAGATAACTACAAGGATAGTTCTGTTGATTAGAATCATGTGTCTTCATCGTGGTTTTGGTGCTGTGAACAGACTTCACAGGTCTTAGGGGAAGAGAGGAGCCCCTGACATGCCCTGAACATCTCGCACCTGGTACGCTGGAGTTATCTCCATTAACGAGATAGGAAGCGGGCTGGGGTTCAACTGGGCACAGAAGCCTAACTGCATTCCAGTACTGGCATTGTGACAGCACAGTCCCATATTAGGGAATGGATGGGAAGCAGAAAGGACAAGAGGATGAGACTTAGAGGCACTTTTCAAAAGGTGCTCAGATGATGCAGATTTTGATTATTTTATTTCCCATATAATTTCTGGAAGATTTAAACTTCCCCAGTATGGAGGGCACAAGGAATTTGCAGCTCCATTCCAAATCCCAGGGAAAAATGACTACGGGTTTGACAGAGAAAAGCCTATGATGCAAATAATAAAGTATAACGCATATGAATTAGCAATGCTGCATCTTAACATATGTATGTATTTTAACCCTTTTCCTCTAAAATATTCTGGGCTTATGCTGATAACATAGAAACCAAGGCAGTTACATACAGAAACCAAGAAGTTACATTGGCGTATAAGAAGAAAAGCTTCTGGAAGGAGGGAAGAGCAAATACTGTGGAGATTATGTTGCCTGGAAAGGAAGGAGAGACAGTCCTAGTAGAAATACCAAAAAACAGGCTACGTAGAAAGCCAAGGGCAGGAATATAGTGCTTGTCAGCAGCTGGAAAAGCTCTGATGGTTTGATAGGAGCTAAGCAACAGTTTGGATGGGGAAAAAGAGAAAGGAGCCATCATGAAAAACCATACAACTGGGGGAACTTATAAGACAAAGCAAAACTTGCAGGTTTGAGTCAAGATTTCTAGAAGGAACTACCCCCCATGTGCAGAGACACTAAGGGACACATAGAGATGAGAAAGGAGACTAAGATTAGAAAAAAACGAGTGATAAGGGTTATCAGTTAAGGGATTTCAGTGAACCAAAACAAGACATTGAAAGGAGGGCTGCCTAGAAGTTTGCATCCATCCTTGATGCTTAAGGAGTTTTGTAGTCCTGGCCTTATGAACAGCACTTATATTGGCTCTTGGTACACTCACTGCAGCACTTGGAGAAGTTCTGCCCCAATGTCAGCTAGAAAACCAATTTACAGCTCATGGAGTTTAAAAGCTGCTTTATGTAATAATAAGCTATAAAGCATAATAAATATAAATAATAAATACTGTGTTAAAAATCTAGTACCTGCTTTACAAGTGCTAATCATATTAATGAGCAAAATTAAATAATTCCCAAAGTTACATTCATGCCACCCTCATTAAATTTGGAAGATAACTGGGCACTGTGGTATTTCCCTTGGCATTATCCCACCTTGCCAGTAAAGGCTTCCATCTGTTCTATACTGAGACTAAGTTTTGGTCAGATGTCTCTTAGTGACCGTAAGCAGAAATTCTCCTCCTCACTGTGTGCAGATGGCTGTGCTATCTCACATATCTGACAGAGGGCTGAAAGCTGCATCTGTCTGCAGTTTGTCAGTTGGCTGAGCTTCTCTGAGATATTAAATCCTTACCTCAAATATTTAACTGCAACCAGTGTTTCTAGTGCCAGCAAATACTTTAAATTTAGGACTCGGTATTTGCAGTGCATTTGAATGTAAAGTAACTTGACAACCAACCTGTTCTCAATAGTTACTTCTCGATCTTAAAAACAAAAGGCCTTCCTTAAGTATGACCAGAATGGTGTGATCTAAAACACGTCTTCAGGAACTGGACAGGGAAACCATAAAAGTGGAACAGAATGCAGACCTTCATACAGAACTACCTACAAGATCAGCACAGGATAAAAATGGCAAACTGCACCCTTACTGCAAGGTACTGTAATTCTGTGGCCATCTTACACAGCTAGGTGCTATTTTATTCTAAGGGACCTGAACAAACAGATCATGGCCACAGAAGGTTCAAGTCTGGAGTGTCCATCAGGTTAACCAGTAACACTAATGTTTAGGTGGCACTCTTTACATACTGGAGACAGGTCAGAGGCACAGCGAACCAGAGCAACTCGTGTTTCTCCAACAGAACAAGCACATCCTTACCTTACTGCATTACGCTAAGATTTCTAATCAAAAAGAGGAAAGGAGTGGGGAAGCAACAAACAGCTCTGTCATACTCTTAACTGGATATGAACAAATGAGCATCTGTGAGGCAGTTCTCCATGTTCCATTTAGGCATATCTCTTCCAAAAGGGAAGAGCTAGCAAAGGCGGAACGTAAAGATAAGGATTTGGAGAACACAATTATGAACAGGGCCCTCAAAGCTGAACTGTACTGAGGTGTGTAGCTTGGTGATCTCACCTTGGTGGTTTTTTTCATAGACCCACGCACTAGACAGAAGAAAGCCATATGCAGCCTACAGCTTGCAAACATGAATCAGCCACCTGCCCCAAGTGCAGGAAGATACTAAAGTTGTTATGATTTAGCTACACACAAACCGTTTCAAGTGCTTTGCCCAAGTGTAGGCATGCTTCCTGTTATTCCCAAATAGCACAATTTTTCAGTTTTCCAAAACAAAGGATAGGAACATTCTGCTATCATTCCTCACCATTAAAAATACAGACTACAGCTGGAGCCGCCTACAGGCACTTCCTCTCTTTATTCTGCAGCACAAACTGCTTACAGAGAACTCTTGTTTAAGAGCAGAATGGAGTGAAACTAATGTAGGTTCCCTATCACCACCTCCTTTTAACCACTATTTCCCAGCAGCCAAGTGGATAAACAGTTAAATTCAGTCCCATGGACAGACAGTGCTGCAACAGGAATTTAAACATGAGAAAGCTTGGGAGCAAGAGTTAACAAAACACTCATCTTACTGATCACCATTTCTTATTTAGAGACATTCTGTCTCCTTTTGATAAAATCTGGGCCCAGCAGAGATTTATTACTTTCTGTTCCAGCTTGCTTTCTAAGTCCCTAGCATGGCCTTTAATTCTCTACTGACAGTTATCGTTCCAACTTTTACATGCAAAAATATCCTCAGTACACTTTGCATTCTTCAGAGTGCTCTCAAAAAAGCCCCTGATATTAATTTCAAGTGTACAAGACAGCCCAGTGAATTAAGCAAGGATTTCTTTCTAAAGAACTATGTAATGACTGTCAGAGATACAATATAGAGTTCTGGTTCTGTTGCATACATTCCCTGAGATATTTGATTGATGTACTATAACGTTAACTGCTCAGTCTTCTGCTTTAAAATCCATCTCAATTAAATTAACCCCAGGAAATGCAAGAGGAGGGAGGAAAAGGACTATCAACATGTGTTGGAGGAAAAAAGCCCCACAGCACAACATGCTTATTCATACTCGACTGGATCTCATATTCCATCATGTTGGACTGTGCTCATCAAGAGCAGGAGTTTATGTTAACTTTTCCTTATATTCACATTGTACAGTAAAAACTACAAAGCTTCCTTTCATAACAGATAGCTAGTCGATGTTAAAAAAGTCTGCTAAATTCTACAGGTGGAAAAGTGCCAACGCAAAACGTTTTCCTTACTCTTTGCAAAGCTGCCACTTGTGTCCTCTGTGCCCAGGGGCTCGGGCAGAGAGACGGTGGCTCACAGTCAGGCTAGAGATTATCTGTCAGCAGCCTGGTGCTCTGTCAGCATTCCAGCTATCAAAAGCACCCTCTGAGGTTTTCACAATTCGCTTATCCTCCCTGGCCTCCCGTGGAATCCCAGGACTGTTACCAGTACAGACAGTTCTGCCTTGCCCTTGTCGAAGAACACATTCAGTGCAGGTAGCTCGGGGTGCAGCAGCAGATTGAGCTCTGGGTGGTGGGAGCCCCAGGCAAGGGGGCCGTGAATTGCCGACCCTTTGCATAACAAAGGGCACGGGGACCTGTGGCCCAGCCAGGGGACCGGACACTCAGAGGCACAGCAGGAGCTGATGAGCTGCTGAAGACCCCAGATTTTCTCGTGCATAGACTGCGACGGTATAAAAGCCCAGGGCTTCCTTTGTTTCGGGTCCCTTCTCGGAGGCACCAACTCGAGCTGTTATTTTGTTATTTAGTTACTTGCATCAAGATTAAATTATTTTAAGGATCAGGACGTCTCAGACTCTGCTATGGGAAATCTGGGGTCCAGCCGGTAAGGAAACCTGGTCTGTCTGACAGTGTGTGGGGTCTGTAGCTACAAAGGGGCCTCAGTCCCAGCTCAGGTGATGCAAGAGTGACTGCCAGAGCAGCTCCTGGATGGTGGACAGGGAAGTTTCTTTAACACCCTTGTTCCCCTCTCCCCCAAGCACACATGTGGTAATTTGCCTGTCTGATCTGACCTTATAAAACCAGCTCAGAGCACCCACAATTCTCATCCTTCCAGTCCTCCATAAAACCAGATTTCCACTGCACTTCACTGCTGAGGGAAGAGAAGAGGATGCACAGCTGACACATTCTCACCAAGTACAGACCTGCTGTAAAACACTTGCCCAATGCCATTCAATACCAATATCCTCCCCCAGGCAAGTCTGGAGACATGGAAACCTTGTAATTGTAAATACTGACTTACGTATTGCACACTGCCATGGTCTGACATGACTCTCCTGTACAGAATTCTGAGATTGTACTATACTGTAAGTTGATGTGATGAAAGAACGTTGTTGCTGAAAAATAAACAAAGGAAATAAATTCAGAAGTAAAATACTTTCAAACACTGGTTATCCTCCAGACAATTATTTAAATAGAGCAAGTGATGTGACCTCAGTCTTGAGCTTGCATATGAATTCAAACATGATTTAGCTAAATGAGCCTAATGATGAACTGCAAAACAAAGAGGTACATAGAATGAAAGGTCTTGTTTGTATTTAAGATGAAAGCACCATGATGCATCAGCTCTTATTACTCACAAAGCAGCAAGACTGGAAAGTGTCTCCGTCATCGGCCTCACCTTTTCAGTAGAACACTCTACATAAGCTGAAGGCAAACCAATTGCTATGTTTTTTTGAAGTCAGACTCAAAATGTATAGGGGCTAGAAAACAGCATTAATAGTTCTCACTATACACCGTGAAAACTAGTACACATCTACTTTTATAAAACCTCCTGAGATAATTTAACATCTTAATACTTCTCACAGGGCACCTCACTTCTTCTTAAGGAGTCTCTGTCAACTTTCCTAATGTGCAGTTTAAAGTAGTTTCTTGCTACCACCACCTACCATTGAAAACATAAACAAGAGTGGGCCATAGCTGCAGGTGAGGACTGGAAGGGGAAGCACTGGGAAGTACAGTAAATCAGGACTGAGATGCACAGATACAGCGTTCAGTCACAGTAGTCAGTCGTGTCTCTAAGTTTCAGTCTGTCGACTATTTAAATCCACAGTAATTCCACCAAAGCTTGGAAGGAGTGAGGACAAATCCAACCAAAAGACTTGCCTTACATACAAGTGTTTAGTGTTTAGAAACTACCATATTTACAGTGCTTCTGGAAGGCAAATAGCTTGAGTTAGAAACATGCAGAACCAGCCAGTTTAGCAAAGAGTCAAGGAGAATCTTGATGGCCCTCCGAAGAGCATCCAAAACTTTAATGCCCTCAGTGCCACAGTGAGGGAGATGGAAGGAGGAAGCAATCAAGGCTTCCATGCTGCTGAGCACAGCTGGGTTGTACCTGAGACAGCTTAATTACTATTCAAGGTATAATGACATGCATTACACAGTAAGCATAAATAGTCATTGAGAGTCTCTCTAAGCACTGAAAACAGTAAAAAGGGTGAATGAGTGCCTTCTCGAGCATGGACAGCAAGCTCAGAGCTGTAAGAACACAATACTCACTGTTGCTGGCAAGCCACTCGTTGAGGTCTATTTCTCGTGGTAACATCACTAGCTCCTTAAATTCAAAGTCAGTAATTCTGGATTTTGTGTATTCTGGCTCTAGGTAAAGTTTCTTCTCTTCTGGTGCTGGCTTTTTACCATTTGGCTTTCCCTTGGACTTCCTGCAAAATATTAAAAAAGAGAGCAGCAAGGTTACCTTTACTGTTGAACAGCTACAGAAACCTGAAAGCAGCATTTATCCAAACTCCTGTATTTGTCTTTACACCGTTCTGCTGCATTCCCTCCCTTTAGCTCTTTTTTTTTTTTTTTTTAATCAAAGCAAGAGATAATTTCTTTAAAAGTGTATTTGAGGTCAGACACTTTTTTCAAGTAACATGAAAGTTTTAATGGCATCAAGAAACTTGAGACTGAGCTGCTCCATTCTTCATTGCCCTTTTGCCAGTTTAGGTTGCAAACCACAGCTAGCAGTCCTACAGTTTGCAGTCTCCTGCAAAACAGGAGTCTGAGGGGCAGCAAAAGCAGGCTGCTGCAAGATAGCTCTCAGCTGGAAAACCTGGAGCTGCTCATTCAAAGCTACAGCATTCCTTGCTCTCCAGCCCTATGTTCTCTGAAATATCAGAAGCTTTCTTGAAGTGAGCATCTGATGCTTCAGATAGAAGCACTGGTAACCACAAAAACGCCTGTTTTCTCAACTCCTGGGAGACCTGAGACAGAAAGAACCAAGTTCATGTTTTTCTGAAAATTGTTTAAAATACAATGCATTATGAAATGACCTTCCATTTGGATTTATAGAAGCAAACAACATTCCATAAAATGCATTTATCTACGTGACATATTGTGACTTTTCATCTCCCATTTGAAAGTGTTAGCTGTAATCACCAGAGTCTTCCTCTCACTCTGTTTTTAACATCTTCAAGCAAGACTCTCAACCCAACCCATATTCCTGGACCAGGGAATGGACCTGGACCTCAGTCCCGGACTAGTAGGACCTCAGAGGAAGGACAGTGGGTCAAGCACTCTGGTCTTCCAGGCTATGCGGTCAAACACTCATGTATTTCTACAGTTAAAAAATCCCTAAGCAGAGATGTAAGATCTATTTAATGGTGAGGGACAAGTGTAAGGCAACACTGGCTGTGCACTATCACGTGAATAGAAGAAGGAGATGCCAGGACATTGTTAACCTCAGACTTTCTCAGTTAAAGTGTTTTTTAAGGACAAGCCCACCTTTGCAGACAACTGCATTAAGTTTGTTGTCAAAACTCCTCTAGATCCTATCCAAAGGAAACCAACGTCACATTCTGAGACTTAACACACTTTAAATAATCTTCCAACTGTGTTCTTGTTTGAGATACACGCAGGCTTGACTTTTGCTGATCTTACATCTCTGTAAGATGGGTTAATTAAACCCATCTTCAGAGAGACTCATTGCCCACATCATCCACACCACAGTACAGAGACACTGAGATGTGCCTTTCACAGGAAAGCAATGCCGTAACTTGGGTCACCAGCACTGCCACTATTATGGCAGTGTCTTGGACTTGTATCCACTGTGTTGGACTTATATCAAGTCTTGACATACTTCAACCAGTAAATTAAGAGTAGAGGGACTTTAGGATTTTGGAAAGGCCATCATCAAGGAAAAACCAAGGAAAGGTTGGTGACAGCAGCACAAGATACAGTTACACCATCATGATACATTTACACAGATGTTCAGAAACAACTGCAGGTCTCTGGCAGGGAACAGATGGTCACACTTTCCTTCCTTAAGGTAATGACATACGTGGGTTTCGTGGTTAGAGAGAAGACGCCTATGACATAAAACATCTTTTTAAAGAATACAAATTCAGGATGAAAATAAACAAAATCCAGTATTGGTGAAGAGAAATTCAGTGCTCAACTACTCCTGCACACCACCTTTTTCCACAGCAGTGCATTCCAATTCAAATGGAGCCTGCAAGATTTGTCCCTTACATTTATTTAGTGAAGTAACCTGGACTAATTCTCATAGCTGCTCCAAAAAGGGATGTTTTAGGACATGTGAAGTCAGTTGTTCCTCAGCTCAAAGCTCTCCATACAAAGGGGATGCGCGGTTAGATAACAGTTCCTGGTTGTCAGCTAACTATTCCCGTCTTCAAACCCTTGCATTTGCTACATTTAGTGGTTTTTGGGTTTGGTTTGGGGGGATGGGATTCAGGCATTCAAGGATAACTTCATTTTTAAGAAAATTATAGTTCCAGTAACAGTCATGCAGAAAATACCTTCAACTTCAGAGACTGGTTTGACAAACCGCATTAACCACACTCAGGGAAAAAAGTAATCAGGGAGAAGTAGTTTGGATAGAGTTTCTGTCTTTGCTGTAGTTCAGGATAATTAAACCAAGGGCCCCAGGTTAGGGCTGTGCCACATCAGCTCAGAGCAGTCTTCTGAGAGGAGGTGGAGGAGGGAAGAGAGAGACAAAGAGGTCAAAGACAGTCTGTCATAGCCAGGCTGTGGAGGGAAACCGCAGAACGAAGCAAGACACTGGAGGCTGAGGCAAGCCTTCCATCACATAGGAATGAGTGGTGTGTGCCTCACCCTCACTTCAGCATCTTCTCCCCATTTCATGAAAATAAACAAAAATTCATCATTAAATATGTTCACAAGTTTGCTAATCCAAACAATATTATCTCTATATATTATCCCTCTACAAAAACCAGCATTTCCACACAAGTGTCAATTCTCTGTTAGATTAGTACATGCAGCCACTTTGTCTCTTTTCAATAAAATCGTGTAAGTCTTTCCACAACTGCCTTATACTAGAACTGGAGCACTTCAAACAGAAGCTTCCTGAAGAATCTCATGCTCCACCCCTTTCCAAAGCTTTCCTTTAGTTTAAAAAGAACCTGACTCATAGGTATCATCACTGAACCTGCAAAAATGCCCATAATCACCGCTATCAAAGGGTTTATTCACACCACTGAAACCTGAAAATCACGTGCAGCACAAACTTGTTAACCTTTTGCAGCTGCTGAGAGCTAAAGCAAGACCACAGAAATTGTTTACACCAGAGGATTTTCGTGTTCTGCATGCAGTGCAGCTGGGACACTACATGGCACGAATACTGTAAGTAAAAACTAAAAAAAAAACCCTCCAGCCTTAAAACCATCATTTTGAACTGGATCGTGCACCCCCCCTCAATTAAGCAGATCTTACTTTATACTGACTTACTCAAATTAGTTGAGTCATACTCACTCGAGGCTGTGGGTTTAGTTTTGAAACTATCAATACCAGCCCACACTTAAAGCACTTTCTTTACAAACTTACAAAGCTGGAGCATACAGCAGTACAAAAAAACCTGTTTTAGAAACACAATTAACATGATTAAGAATCAATAAATAATAGTTCCATATTCTAGATGAATCGAAGGTCATACATTCACAGTTACCAGAATTACCAAATAGTGTAAAGTTTAGGAGTTAGCTTCCTTTCCCTCTGCTCACCCCTACCCCTAAGTTCACTGTTTTTTCAAAGACTTGTAAGAAAATACCAGCTGGATTCAGATCCAAAGGCACGAAGTGAAGCACCCATTATTTCCTTTGTTGTGAGCGTTCAAGATGCCTTCCTTAATTTTTCATTTTATGTTTAAAGTACACAAATATGAAAAACGTCAAAGTGTCCAGACCAACAGTTCTGTTCAGGAAACACCAAAATCCATTACCTGTAGATGCTTGTTTATGGGAAAACATAACTAAATTTGATCTAAGACCACAAAAAGAGCAGTACCTTTCGAAACATGGCTACAGGCACCCCAAGTTCTGATTCATGTTTATATGGGTCTTTCTTCAAAAATAAGAGAATTCTACTAATTTGTCTTAACATGTCCCTGTCAGATCAATTGTATCACCAAAGCAGTTGGAGGAATAGCTGTTACGCAGCAGTTTGGTGGTGTGTCAAGAGGACAGACCAAATCCTGTCTATCAGTGCTTAACTACCAAGGAAGCAAACATCTTTAAGGAATCCAAAGAGACAGCACTCCGCAGCTCCGCAGTTTTTACTGACAGGCAAACCAGAGCCCAAACCAATTCCTCAGACAACTCCCCGGATAGGTCTGTCTTTGGTTTATGGCACTCAATTGAATATGATGCCACAGGCCAAGTCACACCCATGAATATGTTTCAGAGAGGGAAAAGCGATGCGAAATGGCAGAAGAGAGATCACTCATTTGAAGACTTAGAAGAAGGTTCAGCAAACTGGCTCCAATCCAAGACAATACAGTCACTAATGCTCTTAGCAGGGCTTCCACACTCAGCCTTGTGTTCAGCTAGAAAACACAGCAGCTGGAAGCTTGCCTGGAGAAAGAGATGTGTAAGACACTCCACACCAAGTGACAGGCCCAGTGGTCTGTGATGATTTTTTTCCCCTAGTCTAACTGCTTTGTTAAGATCAAGTAAAACTGCCAATTTCCCAGCTTTTTTTCTTATCCCATCTCAGTTAATAAAGGTCCTCCTCTAATCTCTCTCTCATTTCCTTCTTGATCAGATGCTCAGCAGTTTCTTAGTTTAAAAAACTTTGCACTGTGGAGCATCTTTAAAGCACCATCCAGGTGTTTAGTTTTAAAACCATTTTGAGGGAAGTATTACTCCCATTTCACAGCAGAAATGCTGAACCTTACCTGGCTGTTAGGTTCAAAGTTTATTCACAGTACAAACGCTAGAAATGTGCTTCAGTGTAAACCAACATGGTTTGTTTGGAAAGAAGCAGAGGGGGAGCAATCTGGTTTAGCTGAAGAAGTATCAGAGATGCAATGACCACTATGTGGACGTGCCTCATAACCTGATGTATAACTTTGGAATTGTACCAAGCATCCATAGTTCTGGTCCTGCACATCTGATTTATTACCAGGCTGATCACACAGAGGGAATGCTAGCAATATTTTAAATGCCAAACTTCCCTGAACTAATCATGCAATTTTAAATTATCTCTACCAATTCAGGATTTGTTTTTTTCCAGAGGAACCCAGCAAAACTATAATAATTTCTCGCTGTCTCAAGCAAGCTGTGTGGTTTCTTACACTGCATCTGAAATTGAAACCTCTTCAAAAACAAATTGTGATACTTTGGTCCCCCTCTACTAACCTTCACACCCAACTAACTGTCCTTGGGATGAGTGGCTGTTTATTTTT